TATATTTATCATAGAGTTCTGATCCAACCTGCCAACCCTCAAACACCTCATGAGGTGCACTGCAATGACATCTACATCCACACGTACATTTCTTTTAAATTCCCCAAACAAGCTTATCTCCATACTTAAACATAACATTTCAGGGGAAAATACTGTCTTGATGTAAGTCATTAACTGGGGAAGTCCTGTGTAGTTTTAATTCTTTTTTATTAATCTTATTCACCCGCAGTGACAATTAGCGCATTTTAAAAAGGTAATACCCAATTTGCAGTGAATTAGTGAATGAGGCCAATTGTGTCTTAGTGACTGTAGCAACTTTCATGCCGTTTGTATCTTTCCAGAGAGATGTTTTAGGCCTCGCACCTCCCTCGTTGTCCACAGTAATTCCGTGCCGACACTTTGAAACAGCTAACAGTGGAAGCAATAAAAGACATTACTTACAACACATCCAATTAGTCAGCTCTGTTTATCATAACAAGAGTGGGAGAACCCCCGGGTGTAAGTTCACCACATGTTGCTGAATCTGTGAATCAGGTTGGTCTGGACCAAGATCCTTTATCCTCTTTTTGTGTTGTTGGGGTGTTTTTGTAAAGAAATATCCCGATTTTCCACAGTTCCACTTGAAGTCGCCATATCTTTCCCTTAATCAATACCTATTCACTGTGAATAAAATGTTTATATAATTACATTTTGTTTAACATTTTTATACAGCCTTTTTGGTCTCAGGATGTTGCAGGGTGTGGCCCCAGTGCCCGGTATTAACCAGCTGCCACTCAGTATCTTATACACTTCATAACAGGCAGAATTCATGTTATGACTGCTTTTGTGTACATGCTGGTAAATTAATGTGACCGACTCGGTTTAGAGCCACTAAAATGGAGATGTTTGGAAACTGTGACAATGATGCAACTGCTTGCATGCGTAAGAGACAAGCTATTATAAGTAATCTGTGACAATTCCTGTGTCCAGCTAGGACCTGAGCACGACACGCTGGACACCAGCACCTGTATGACCAGTGTACGGAAGTGGCTATGTGATATGCATTTCCAGGCATGTTAGTATGGACGGGGATTCAAATTGATACAGAGTTATCATGCCAGAGTTAGCCACAGAGGCTTATTCATCTGTGATCCCTATAAAAGCAAGTGAAAGTATTTTTTTTAATTTTATTTTTAAATTTTGATTAAAATGTCTTTTAAATGCATACGCATATCCAGTATTACAGTAGGTAGGCAGGATTTCTGTTATGTTTATTTTGTCGCTGCTTCAGGATTGGGTCAGACACACATTGGTATCCTTGTACTGTGCTGTACTACCCTGCCTCATGTCCTCACTCCCCCACTGACCTACTTTACCTGTTAACAATAAACACCAACACTAATCAGAAGTTATTAGGACCTGAACAGTACTTGAAGTTTACTTTGTGTTTGTTTGATTCACTCTAGAGTTTATGAGACGCATATTTAAAAACACTGAAAAAAAAGTCCAACATTGTGCATGCACGCAGTTCAACTGCCACACACACCATGAGACGAGACATGACGAGCGAAGCCTGGAGATCAGGGTTAAAGTGACTGGAATGATCCGGATTCATGATCCGACACTACTGATCAATAAATAAATACATGTGATGGTCAGTTTGTGTGAAGAGTGACAGAGCAGACACACACACACACACACACACACACACACTCCTGCAGACAGTGTAGTGAAGTTCTTCTCAGATTATGAGTGAACGCATTGTTAACTTCATGTTTGCAGAAGAAGCGACGCCTCATTTTATCAAGTAACATACAGCCGGTGAAATAAGTACTGAACTCACTAAATATATTTCCAAAGGTGCTATTGACATGAAATGTGTCCAGATGAAACCAGATGTTGGTAACAACCCAAGTAATCCATACATACAAAGAAACCAAAACCAGTTCAGAAATGAAGTTATGTGTAATAATGTGAAAGGACACAGGGCAAAGGTATTGAGCACATGAAGAAGGGGAGGTGCAGAAAGGCATGGGAAGCCAAGACAACAGCTGAACTCTATCAGTAATTCAAAAGCAATCCAGCCCCTTGTCAGTGCAAAGTAATATCAGCTGGTTCAGTCCAGACTGATGGCCTACGATAAGGTCTCATTGCCAAGGTGTCACACAAGACACATCTCACATCCCCGATCTCCACTGTGTATTCTGCACATTTCTTCTTCTTAAATCTTTGCGTCCTCAATGTTGAGAGGCAGCAGTGGGTAAACAAGCATATGACACCGAGTTATCATCTCTGTGTAGGATCCTTAGAAAGTTTAAGTGTAGAGTTGTGAAGTTGTGCAGATAGTGTAGGTCTACCTCACAGTTGTAAGATAACTCCACTTTGGTGTTTCCTATTTATTACATTCACAAAACAGTGGTTAAAAATAGTCAACCCCACCCCCACAAACACATTACACTACATATCATTTATCCAAAGCGACTTGCAATAAGTGCATTCAACACATGTGTGTGCAAACAAACACACACACACACACACACACACGTGATTGGTTCACCCTTTCAAAATGGCATGCTTCTTACCCAGAAATCTCCTGGTCAACTGTAAATTGATCACATGTGCCCCAGCCATGGTAACAATGGCTTTGTACTGAACTAGCCTGCACCAGGTGATAAACTTGAACCATCTTCACAAACAGTTTGACAGTGTTTATTTTTTATTTTGGCTCACTGTTTTATTTCATATTCAACATTAAAAACATATTGTAACGCCAGGGAATAAAGGGACGAGACTGGATGGAGGGTGTCACTCACTTTATTGGTGTTCATTTAGCAGGTCACACTCAACACTCGCTTGTATCGGACTCCCTGAAGCCAGACGCAGAACAACACAGTTGGAAAAACAAGGCCACTATACCACTCTATACTTCCTGTCGGCGAACGTACCCCCCACATACTGACTATGCTACATGCGCAATTGTGATTGGCCGAGAGCACACAGGCTTAACAGGGTACTGGAACAGGGTCGCTACAATCTGTGGGCAGGCATGTTACCTGGTGACATTAATGTCTTTTTCAGGCTCCTCAGGAGCAGAGCTTAGTGTGGGAAAGAAAGGACTACCTTTGACGAGGACACTAGCCTTTATAACTTAGCTGACATTGTACATGACCAGAAAACCTGAGGACAAACCCAAAGAGCGCAACATGGAATTTCAGTTCAGATAATAATCAATAGCCACCTTTAAATGGTCTATTTCTCACCTCAGATGCATCCAGAAGCTATTTTTGACAGTTTGGGTTTAGAGTATTTAGATTTTTTTCTGGTTTAAATCTTGGAATTAAAAACAGTAATGCATTAGCTCATACTGAAAGAGAAAATAGTAAGTCACTGATTGTACAAACAGCTTGGATCTACCAGACCAGGAAATTAAAAGGACAAGGCTAAAAATACTTTGTATTCAATCCTTCCACAATCAAAAACAACAATGACTTTATCTGTCTGGCGGCTGGTCAATATGGTGCGCTGGGGCGCCGCCTCCTCCCACATTCTGAGACAAAGAAGCCTGTGAAAAAATGTTAAACACAATTGAATTATATAATAATGTTTTCCTTTTACAATGCTCCTGGTAGACTGTAAGCCCTGTGAGCATTAAATATACGTTTTTTTCAAATTGTATTTGGTTAATTTCTGTCTAAATACATGAACTTATGGATTAACATTCACATCCAAGTGGAATTAAATTCAACATTTAACAAGCGGGTCCTGAAGGTTTTGGCAACCATGGGACCTGAGCTTGCTCTTTAATTGGTTGTTGCAGATTTTTCTTTTATTACATTTTTATTTACAGCTAATGGTTATTGATTTACTAATGTGATTGTTCGACCCTTGCTGCCGACGTCACTAAGATATGTCCGCTGTGAGCTGACCAACTTCAGTGGAACTGCGGCAAATCCGGTGATTTCTTTACAAAAACACTCCAACAAGAAAAAGAGGACGAACTTAGACCCAGAGCTCCTCTCACTCTTGTTATGAGAAACAGAGGTGACTGGATGTGGTTTAAGTAACGTCTTTTACTGCTTCACCTGTTTTTTGCGAGACCTAAAACATCTCCCTGAAAAATGCAAACAGCGTGAAAGTTGCCACAGTCACAATGAGGCTACATTATAGTTGCAGGCTACAGGATTGGCATATTGTGTGTTGTGCTGTTTTTGTTGAGTCAGGCTTTAGTTTGTTCACACACACCCCACCCATTCAACACATAACTGAGCCCTGCTGCATTGATATGTTGCTTTATTTTTTTGAACATTTATTAATGTCAGCTGATCATATCAACAAAGCAAAATCAGTAAACACAGACCTATTGATGGCATAGTTTTAAAAAGCTCTTGACGGGCCTGTGTTGACCACAAAGAATAAACATGCCAGTCAGTGCAGCTGTATCCTTCTCTATATTTATCCCTTTTTGCCGGTTGCACAAAGAAACAAGCTTCTTTAGGCTGCGGCCACAGTCATTTTTCAGCCTTACTGCTCTTTCAGAAGTGGTTTATTTTCAACTAAACTGAATAAAACGGCAAATTTAGTTTACAAGTAGACAAGACCAACCTAACTCATTCCACTGCTAGGAAGTGTTGATCCATTCTGGCTATTTTTTGTCAGTGTGCCACGCACCAACATGCATATTTTGAAGAGGCATGCAACATCGTTACTAGTCTACAATACAATACTAATGCCACATCTGTTGAGGGATAAAAGATAATTTATATGTATATGCTCCAATGAAAAAGATAAGGTTCGATAGACTTATATGGTAAATACGGACAATAAAGGATAATGGTTAGATAGATTAGATTGAAATAAGAGTGGCTGTAGAGTCACTAAAGGAGACACATTCAAAGTGCATAAGATACAAGGCCTGAAATTTTTAACAAAGTGCTCCATACACTATTTTCTGTTCTTTCAGTGTTTTCTCTCTGTCTGTTTTGTTTTATAGTGGTGCATGCTTTTCAGAAAGCATTTCCCCCATCCTAATGCTTGACCTAAGACACAAACCAGATTATTCAGGTTTACTCTCTTTTACCCTTGACATCCGGTTGGGGTTAATGAAATCCCAAAAAATTAAGAATTGAATGATAATTATTGAGTAAAGCTGCATTTTTCCTGCAGGCATACAGACTAACAGAATGTGCCACTTGTTGTTTCATGACACACTGTCTTATCTCATGTCCTAAAAACGAAACAAGATGCTGTATAATGAATCATTGTTGAGCCGTGGTGAGGTGCATGATATTAAATTCATATGACTGCTATAAAGACAACCAGCATTGCTCATCATTTTCTGTCAACTCTTCTTCCTCAGTCTGTGGCTGGCTTTGTTAATACTGCCCCATGTCTATTACGTGTTGGCTTTGAGGGGAATCCTACAGGGAGTTTGTAACCCAAATTGAGATCCTCGACGAGACAGAGAACATCTGGTCTGCACTCAGTCCAAGTGCTTCTCTGCACACAGAATTTGACAGTACATCATCATGGAGAACACCAGAGCCAATATCTGACAAGAGAAAAGGAGGTTTAGGGTAAATATAATTTCAGATCAAATTAAACACACACACACACACACACATTCACACACACACACACACACACACACACACACATACACACACACACACAAATAGGACAGCTCTGGGGGCAATTTTGCATCCTTGTCAGACAAATACTACAGAATTTAATGCGTGTGAATAAATGTGTTAAGCTTAATAATATGTTGCATGTGAGGTTTTATGGGCCTACGAGATGGGAAAACAATCACTTTCAGAAGGAATACAATTGACATGAATATGTGGAAAACGTTTGAAATATAAAATCAAGTAAATATTGGTGACAAGTACCTGTACAACACCAATACAGACTCCAAACACCAGGACTGAGGGTATGTTAATGAGCAGCCACTGCCTGGCCTTCTGATAGCACGGCTGCAGGGGAAAAACAGAGATTCAGTGCACGAGGGGGTTGAGCCGCAAGGAAGCTCACAAAGAAAGGAAAAGGTATTGCAGAAGAAGAATAACATGAACAGATGAAATGCACAGATAAGTGAGGGGTAGAATGATTGCAAGTAATCATAGAAAATCATAGTAAAGGAAAACAGGGTGACGCACTGAGGGACTCTTTCAATTCAATTCAATAAGCTTTATTGGCATGACATTTACATGAGTTGCCGAAGCACAAATACAATATTGAAGACAATCAAAGAAACAAATTCCTAATAAGTACTTGTAGTACTAGTAGTTACAAGCTGTATCCTGCTTCTCTAGAATCAGAGATACCTGCAAAATGAGGTGTGTGTGTGAGTGTGTGTGTGTCATCAAAGTGATGGTAAATTGTCTGTTGAAGCTGGTTTGGTCTAGACCCAGCATGCAGACACAGTCTCACTAGAGAATATGTGGCAACTGAGGAATGAAGATAGAAATTGTGTTGAGTGTGCTGGGCTTTGACGGCAGGGGACAGGCAGGTGGTAAGCGGAGGGCTCCGGGAGAGTTGATGGCAGGACGGGAGTCGTGACTGGTGGTGGATAATCGAGAGTGAGGTGGCGCTGGCTGCCAGAGCTGAAGCAGTGAGTTACTTGGAGGTGACAAGCTTGGGCGGGGGCCAACATATGGGACTTGAGCTGGAGGGGTAAGACAGCCGTTTCTTTATTCCAGGCTGATAGTCCGAGGCCGGGAGGGCGGTTCCGGTCAGTGAGGATCTGATTACGGCCGTGGAATGGCGTAAGGCAGCCTGTACCTCTTTCCAAACACCACCAGTTCTTCTTCCTGGGCTTGGAAAAGGGGTGGTTGATATCCCAATGAAACCATGACGGGGTTGCTGAAGGAGTTATGGGCAATCCATGGTAGGTAGGAGCTCCAGGTGGATTGATTGCGGTGGGTGATTCAGCTCAAAGCCACCTCAAGGTCCTGGTAAACCCGCTCCGTCTGCCCATTTGTTTTCAGTTGGTATCAAGAGGCGAGTTTTGCTGTGAACCCCAGAGCTCAGCAGAAAGTCTTCCACACGTGTGAGGAGAACTGAGTGTCTCGGTCCAATATAATATCCAGAGGGATGCTGTGGAGTTTGAACACATGTAATACCAGGAGCTCGGGGAGAGAGACAAAATCCACAGCCTTGGCAAAACTATCTACTACAGGAATGGAACTGTTGAATCCAGGGAGAGATGCATGAAAATGCATACGTAGGTTAGGGGCTGCTGAAGAGGAGGTGTGGCTCCTCACTGCCCCCTAAGTCACTGACAAGTCTGATCTTTTGGCAGATGGGGACGGGAGGCAAGGAAATGGCCGGCTAGTAAATCAAAAATAAGCAGAGGAATTCCACATAAAAACCTTATAAAATGAAATCAACCTCAGCAAAAATACAACAAAACAGGTACTGTGAATGTGGACTCTGAAACCTAAGATCTCTTCCATCCAAGGCTCTCTAAGTAAATGAATTAACCTTTAATGACTTATTACTGGACTTCATGTCATTAATTAAAAACTCCCTTTCCAGATTTCTATCTGACAGTGCTGTAGCTAAATTTAAAGAAACAATTCCATTGACATTTAACTCAATACGATGCCTCAGTAAAGTAGAGGAGTCCCTTAAAACCAGTGATCATCTTTTCAGTAGTACTGCAGACTCACTATGAGTATCACTCGTTAGACTCCATAGCACCTCTAAAAAAGAAACTTATAAAACATAGGAAAGTAGCTGCTTGGTACACGCATGAAATCTCATTTGCAGAAATCTCAGAAGCAGCAAATAATCCTGTTGTATATCTAGACGGCTTCTCTTAGATCAAGCTTTATCAGCAAACTTTAGTTATCTCTTCTTCTAAACCAGAAACTTGCATTTTACTGATATGTAACATATTTCTAAAGTCATTGAGAAATTTGTCACTTATCAGCTGTGGGACTCTCCAGAACAATTGTTACAAGTGGGCAGTCTATGTCGCTGGAGATCTATGGCGAGGATAGAGTGCTGGTGTGCCAAAACATGGCATGTGATAAGATAGAGCTCAGCAGTGTGACAGCAGATGAAGCCCGGTGGCTTTAACAGGATCAGGAAACCGACCGAACTGACTGCCTGTCCTGCTGGTATCCTGCCTGCCAGACAGGTAACAAATGCAGGCACGCTGATCGGTTGCTTAGGACAAGCAGAGATGCTGGAAATTAGTGAGTCAGCATCATGCACAAAACAGAGCTGAGCTATAAATACTCCCATGGAGCCGGACAGTATAATCTGGCGATGAGTGGAGGGATGACAGGGTTCTATGTCAGTATCACAGTCAGCATTAGAGACATCCCGCAACAGCCATGTGTGTCATAATGCAGTCTTGACAAAACACAAATTGCACGCTCCCAGCGTTGATTTGCGCACCACAGAGAACATTCTTGGGGACTTCCTCTGTCTCCACAGTGCCTGTCACATTAGCTGGGTGAGGCCAATTCACAGGCATATCTTTCCTCTGGGGCAGATCCTCCGGAGACCATCATGGCACACACCACCAGCAGAATGTCTACCTTCATGGGTCTGCACGGAGGAATGACAGCAGGAGACATTTGAGCTTCAGTTTCATGTTTTTCCCCCTGTTCTTTCATCTGCGGGGCTCTGGCTACTCCATGACTCACTCTGTACCGAGTGTTTTGACAGAGTGATTAATCTTGTGTGCATGCTTGCCCTACTCTACTCGTCATTTTAATGTTACGCCAGTGACACACCGGAGGCGGAAGCACCACGAAGCGTCAATTCTTGTGCGAGCAGCCGCCTGGCAGTTCACACCGGAAGCACATTTCTTCGCGCTGGTCAACCCGCGGTTCTGCTTCTTCCACTACTTTGTTATCATACATATAGTAGGAGTATGTAGGGGGTTTGGGGGTTAATAATGATGGTCTTCACAAATGACTGACTTACGCAAGCCTTTAGCCACCCCACCTTCTCTCTCTCTCTCACACTCTCTCAGTCTGTCTGTCTGCTTGTGTGCTTGTGTGTGACACAACTGACAAATGTGTGGAATAAGTACATAATTAAAAAAACAATTACAGTGGATGGGCAGATGGGGAAATTTCATCATGTGGGGGGGATCTGGGAAATTAAAACCCCAGGAGGGCAGCGGGAGAATAAAATGTATAGGATGCATATTTGATCATTTATATTATATATAATATATCATTTATATTGTTTACAATCAATTTGAAGTGTGTTTTCTGATTTGCTCGCGGTAATCGGAAAAAATAGAACAAACGCCAAAACCACCCTCGCAGACCATTTTCGTTAGAGTTGAAATATACACACTGCTCCAAAAAATTAAGGGAACACTTAATTGTCACAGTACAACACCAATTCAGTTACACTTCAGGGATATCAAATTGTCCATTTACGAAGCACAAGTGATTGTGAATCAATTTCACCTGCTTTGGAGCAAATGAAAATGACAACAGGTGCAATGGAGAAACAAAAGCAAGACCCCCAAAGAGGAATGGCTTTGCATGTGGTGGCCACAGACAATTGTTCTCTCCTTATACTTCCTGACGGATTCTTCTCTGTGATGGATTCTAAATCCTGACTGAATGTTTTCCAACAAACCTTTACTATCTAAGTAATCACACAGCTGGTTAGCAACATCTTTTCTAGAATTTTGGAAATGAAGGGCAGGTTTATAATTAGCTTAAACCTCTTGCTCAAGAGTGGGCTTTTTCAGCAGAGGTTTAATAGCAGCTAGCTTAAAAGCTTGTGGTACGTAGTCTGTTAACAAAGACATGTTAATCTGATTTAAAATGGAACTGTCAATTAGAGGAAAAACATCCTCAAAAAGTCTAGTTGGGACAGAGTCTAACTGACAAGTAGTTGGTTTAGGTGATGAAACTAATGAGGCCAGTTCAGGAAGATCAATAGAAGACAAATGGTTCAAACATAAATCTGGTGCTACAGGTGGTTCTATGGTTTCAGGACTACACAATGTATCTGTGCTATTCATGGGGAGGAGGTGGTGGATTTATCCCCGATGGTTATAATTTTATTTGTGAAAAAGTTAATGAAATCATTGCTTCTCAGATCTAGAGGAATAGATGGGTCAYTAGAGGTGTGACTTTCTGTCAGCCTGGCTACAGTGCTGAAGAGGAACCTGGGGTTGTTCCTATTTTCTTCTATTAATAATTAATAATAAGAGGTTCTGGCATTTCTAAGTGCTTTCTTGTAATTCATCAGGCCAATCCTTCCAGGCTAGGAGAAAGTCATATTGACTGGTGGAATGCCACTTCTATGATGTCTGTTATAAAACACGTTTGAGATTTATACCACGGAGATGATCTCCTCTGAGTTACTTCTTTTTTAGCAGGGTGACAGCGTCAAGGATTGTTTTTAATGAGGCTGCTGTACTATTAACTAAGTTATCAACTAGTGTGGGAGTGAAGTTTTGATAACTTTCCTGTATTGTACTGACACATGGCTGAGAGGTAAGTATAGAAGGAAGCAGTTCTTTAAATTTCTTCACAGTTTTATCAGATAAACACCGACTATAATAGAATTTCTGTCCAGAATCGGTGTAGTCAATAATTCTAAATTCAAATGTAATTAAAAGAAGGTCAGACAGAAGAGGGTTTTGGGGAAATATTATTACATTTTCAACGTCTATGACATATGTCAGAACACGATCAAAAGTGTGGCATAGATGTACACGTAGTCCATTTTTATTTTAAACTGCTACTTTGATTTTTATGTAAAAGTATCTCATAATTTAGTCTTTTTATCACTTAATTCTGACTTTTTGTCTCATAATTTTGACGTGTTATCTCATAATTATTAGATGTACAGGTGCTTTTACTCATCTTCCCATTCATCAATAGTGATGGAGCTTTTTATTTTGCTACAGTGTGGACTTTGATCCACGTTACTCTATGCAGCGTGGTTTCACTTCCTGGTCCGAGGATACAATACACTCGGGACCTCCTGCTGCAATGGAATACACCAAATCAGATGACAGTGTCAACGCCAGATGTTCAGCTGCCCGATTGGATTCGTAGAGATATCTGCGGGAACTTGATGGGTTTGCAGGGAATTAAAAAAAGGAAGGGAGGGAGAATGGGAGGCATCAGGTTGTGACTAAGGAATTGGCAGCTCAATCACTTTCTCCTGCCCTCTATGATTCTTGGGTTACCACAGTCCCTGTGGAATACACTCAACGAATTGCAGAGGAATGTTCACTTCCTCCAGGACTATAGAGACAGCTGCCTCATGGCTTTTACAGAGTCGTGTTTTACCGATTCGGATTCAGACAACGATCTGTTTATGGATGGATTTGGAACTCCATTTCGTCAGGAACGGAAGGCAGAAGTGACAAGAAAATCTCGTGGTGGGGGCGTGTGCCTCTACGCCAACAAGTGCTTTATGTGGCTCCGAAGGGTTCTGCTTCCATGGATTGCTATACCTTTGGGTCCTAATATAGAAACCTAACCTAAACTTACGATCATGTTATTAATCAATGGTGTCTGATCATGCCTGCGTGTTTCCTGGTCAGTTTAACACTGAGTCCTGCTAGTCACATCACGCCTCGTGTTGTACTGAGCACAACATGTTGATGAGTCATTTTTTCATGATGTTTAAATGCAGCCTCATAAACTCTGGAATTAAACAAACACTAAGTCACTTCATGAACTGATCACGTCCTGATTACTAGTGATGAGAGTTTATTAGTGAGAGAAGGTACTGTCAAGGTTTTGACTGTCTAATAAACTTCATAAAAGTCATATCTGTAGATATATCAGAGCAGCTGTGGAGGCGTGGCAGAGTATTTCAGATACTGTGAGTATAGATTGTAAATTTCCAGATCCACAGCCACAGTTCTGCAATGGTAACTGCATAATCATCATGGGAGTTTGGGCAATGTAGGCTGAAAAATACTATACGCAGTGATCAGTCATAACCATTTGTGGCGAATATTTTCTGACTCGATTGTTGTAAATTGTTGTGTGCAGGCCTTCAGATATACTATGCATCTGACAAAATGAAAACGGACCCTTGGTGCCCTAATAAAGCCCCCCCTTTTAGCTGGAGAACAGACCAACCTCACTCCATCCGTCAACACACTGGTCCATCCCAACAGAGCAGCAGGATGAAGGTAGCGTTCCATTCAGCACATCATACCAGTCTGTTTTGTTTGTTACTCCACAGCATTTGAACTGGAAGAGACAGTAAGATACAAGGAAAAGAAATTTAGCTTGAAGCAAAAGTTTAGTCAGGAAGACTATCTTATTTGATGAATTATTTGATTTAGGGGATAGGAACACAGGTCCAAAACCCACATGGTCAGTTTTGTACCCAAAATAGAGCTAAATAAAAAAGGTAGATACCTGCTTATTTTAGCACTTTTAGCCTTCTTATTATGTCGCATACACAGTGGCGGTTTAAGGCACGGGCGAACCAGGCAGTCGCCCGGGGCGGCATTTTTTCATGTCACGTGGGCGGCGGCACGAGCACTTAGAAAAAAAAAATCATCTGCGCCGCAAAACGGTTTTCTATTATGTATCATGTCACAGTGTGTGGGAAATTGGCAAATTGGCGCCCCCTGCAGCTGCTGCAGGCGCCACTGCAGCTGAGAAGGTGCCGCACAGTGCACAGAAGCTGTGTAAGAAGGGGAGGGGCAGGTGGGGGACAGTTCACCTCTGGGTCTCCCAAATAGAAACGGACAAGGGGGGGAATGTATAGTGCAATACACTGGTTTTATTGCAAAGGTCAGGTTTTAGTTTGTGTTTGTGTTTCCTGTTCTTAGTGCAATAGTGTAATAATTCGATTTTCTTTAGTATGTTTTCAAATTTGTGTGATGAAGGATTTGTGCTATTTAGAATATTTATTCTATATTTTATTTGTATATTGTTCATTCTTAATATTTTACTTTATTGTTGTTCTCTGCTCTTGTTAAAAAATTTGTATATATCAGATTGTATATATTTGCCACTTTTTGTATATAGTGTCTATTTATTTAAGTTCCGGGGGGGGGGGAGCTCGGAGGGTATCTCGCCCGGGTAGTAACTCAACGTAGAACCGCCGCTGCGCATACAACCTGTCCTATCGATATCACATAAGAGACCATGCACTGTTTGCATAGAAGTGCTCACCATTTTCTGCACATTGTCCCAGGATTTTTTCAGTCCAGGTTTTGATTTATAAATCTTCATACCTTCCTTTAATTCATCTTGTGCTTTGGAATCCAGCTAAAACAGAGAGAATGGTAGAAAGAGACATTTAATTACCCAACCGTTATCCATACTTGCTAATTTATTGAAGGGACGCAACTGTGGCATATCCAAACTGGTAGTGGGCAGGAGGTAATGTACACCTCCACAGTTCACACTTCGACTGGATAGACACGCAAATAGTCAACCAGATCACATTCACGTTTCTTCTGCGGCTTGTGTTGTTTGGATGTAGCCACTATGGGCGCTGTGCACAGGAACCACCCAGCCTGTCATACAGATGTAAATAACAGAGCAGTGCAACACAACACAACCTACAGCAACTAACTTTATTTCTACATTTAGAGATGGTCATTCACCATGTTTTTTACCTAACAGTATTAATTGTAAAATTAACAATTAAAACCTAATGTCACATTTCCCAACAGCCGTAGTTGTACTACGTCGTAATCCTGCGACAATGATGTACTTACCAGCACAGAGGAAATGTGCCAAAACACACACACACACGTTCATTCAAACTCTAAATTAGATTTTATAATTAAAGAGCAGAAAATGTGTAAATTATTTCAGAAGTTATCATTTATATTAAGTCTTGGGGGAATATGCAGAGTGCATTCAACCGATGCACACTCCCCAGTTATAACTCAGAGTAGCCAGCCTTGAAAAGTTCACACTATAGGTAATTGAGAGTTTGCAATTAACCTGCATGTCTTTAATTATGGTAGAAATGTAAAGCAGAAAGGACTCTAACTTTAACTCTAAACCCATGAAGATGTAGGAAGAACTTTGTGTTTCCCCTGTAATCGCAAAAATCCATCATCCCCCAAACAAGCAGTTTGGGTGGAAAAATGGAGTTTCACCATCATGCATATTTGATGGTGTATCTATCTGTATACTGTGATGTATGCAACTGCATCTGTAAGTGTACTGCAACTGCTGAAATCAAACCCTAATAAATCAGTATCTGATTTAGTATTCTATAAGTGCTTTACATTACAGTTTGCATTCACCATTTCAAACACCCATTCATATAACACTTGTTGCTCATTCCAGTTCACACACAGACATTTGGGCCAGTGTCTTGTCCCAGGACACATTGACATATGGACTGGAGCAGCCTTGAAATACAAACAATTTCTTAAGAAAATATTTGTCAAAGCCGAAAAGTATTAATTCCAGTCAAGGTGAGTGAGCTTATTGGGATATTGTAATCATTAAGAGCGGGGAGGTGAAGTCAGACCCAGATAAGGTTCAGACAGTGACAGTGTCCGAAACCAGTCTTACTAAAAACAACTACAGCAGTTTATTTGTTTTTGAAAACTTTTAACTTCTGCTTTTTAGAGACTACAGTTGAGTGGCAGTTCTGCTTACTTCCTACTCCACTCCTTTTTCCAGAGCTGGCCCTTTGCCATGCTGGGACTTGATATTTTTGAGAACACACCTCTGAAGGAGCTCTGTCTTGATCTTACACCATCCTTTTTATCTTCTGCTGCTGTTGCAGTTGTTAAAATGTTGATTAGATCTTTAATGAGGGAGGTCCACCAAATGCAACCTCGCCCTGGTAACATTCTACCAAACAGACTCTTATTCTCCAAAGCTTTACACTTTGTGGTTCTTCTGAAACTCCCTATAATGCTTTTGACTTTTGAAAGCTGCCTTTTGCCACTAATCCATCTTCTCTGAACACAACATTTACCTGGGTGGAGTATGCCTGACTAGGGCTGCCACTTGTACCTACTTATCTGAACACAGCTTTAGGTTAACAACCCCCTTTGTTTTGTCTTAGGGTTGAATGTGGCTCAGTGGGGAGAGCGGGTTGTCCAATAACTGATGGGAGTTTGAAATCCATCTCCCCTATTCCCTGTGCCAAAGTGTCCTTGAGCATACTAAACCACAAATTGCCCCTACTGCTTTGTCGGCAGTGTATGCTTGACCTATGATAGAGAAAGTGCTGCACATAGATGCACTGTATGAATGTGTGTGTGGGTAAATGGAAAAACGGGTAAGCAGGACTGCAAAGCACTTTGAGTGGCCATCAAGACTGCAGAAGTGCTATAGAAATACAGGCCATTCACATGGTCCATGAGAATTCAACCCAAATGCAACTACCTGATCTGTGTATTGAATTAATCAAAGGTTCCTTCTGCCGCAGGCAATTCCCTGGCTACATTTTCGGAATAATTTTTTTTAAAAAATCACAAAATATGGCCTGATCTTCATGTAAGTCCTAAATACAGACAAACAAAATGTGTTTAAGCTAAACCAATATTGTCTTTTTGGATGCTGAGGGAACAAGAAGGTGAACCCTTGGAATTACTGTATATCAAAGTGGATTAAACCTGCACATTGTTAAGGAGGTTATTCTTTCTATGGAGCTGCTTCAGCCTCAGGTGAGTGGGTTAAAGTCTGGGCTCTGACTGAGCAGTCCAGCAGGTGGATTTTCTTTGTTTGAAGTAATACTGTAGTATATTTAGGATCCAGCTGCATCACCCAACTTCTACTGAGGTTCAGCTGGTGAACAGCCACCCTGACATTATCCGGTGAGATGATAAACTTGAAAATCAAGTTGTTGTCAAAAATTTCTAGGCCCAGAGGCGGCAAAGCCCCAAATCATGAGGCTCCCTCTACGAACACATAATAATACTAACTGTATTTGTATAGCACTAATCTAAACAAAGTTACAAAGTGCTACACAAGAAAAAACCCATGACAAGAAGAAGAATACATTATAATAAAATCAATTCAGTTAAAAGTTTTTTGGGCCACAGAGCTGTCTAAACTGAACTCTGTGAGACTGGTTGTTGTAATGAAAATAATTGTACCTTGGTGTCATCATCAGCCTATTAATCACAATAATGTTAAAGAGGCTAAAGGTAAATCTGACTGGATACTAGCTTGTATGGCAGTGCTATCCCTGCATTTAAGGTTAAACTAAAAACTTTTCATTTTGACAAAGTCTATAGTTAGTTCTGGATCAGGTGAGTCCGGAACCATCCCTTAGTTATTGTGCTATAGATCTAGACTGCTGGGGGAACTCCCATCATGCACTGAGCAATTCTGCCCCCCCCCCCCCACATTTATTTATTTGAATACATGTCAATAACTGTTTCTTTTTTTCTCCCATAGTCCCTCTCTCTCTCTTTCTCTCATTGCAGGAATCTCTGACTCCAGAACTGCAAGAGAACAACTATTATTATTAACAACAATTTTTATTAGTAATTACTTCTACTATATGAATTGTCTTAAGACCAGCTTAAGGGAATGTCTTCAAATTTGGTACAGACATTTACTAGGCCTCAAAGACGAACTGGAGATCAACGGTCAAGGCCTCATGTTCCTGTGAATGTGATATATCAAGACTGCTCATAGGGAATTTCATCACATTCACTTTGAATCATGGATGACCTGATATAATTGACTGGTCAAAGGTCTCTGTGCCTTGTGAATGTAGTATCTCAGGAACATCTTAAGCTAATTCTTTCAAATTTGTCACACATGTTCACTTGGACTCACTGATTAGATTTCAGTGGTCAAAGGTCAATGTCATGGGGGCCTCAAAAAACATGTTATCTTGAATGTGATACCTCAACACTGACTTGAGGAAATATCTTGAGCTTTTAATCAAACCTGACTCAAAGATCAAGTGATTACATTTCAGGGGTCAAAGGTAAAAGTCACAGTGGCCTTATATGAATATGGAAGAAAAAAATACTTTCAATTATATAGACAGAAACTGCTCTGGTTGGTGGAGGCATACAAGCACAGTGTGGTAATTCTAGTTTTTTTTATTTTATTCTCATTCAGTCTTATTTTATTATTTGCTTATTCTAATCAACCCTTATTTATTGGACCAAGGTCAGGGTTAGGGATTTTACTATCTCATCGCTGTGCACATTACACTGGAACATGTATATATACGGATATATAACAACCCTTGAACCTTAAACTTGTAGATGGCGAGCTCACCTTGTCATGGAAGATGTGTATAACCAACACTAGAGTCACCTCTGTCAGGACAAGGAGCAAAAGGATCACAAAGAACTGCAAAACAGAGAAAAGCTGTTGGACACTGGCACTACAGCACAAGACAAAATAGTTTAGACTATCTACGCTGAGATGTTATACTAAAATTAGAATATCTGAACTTGAACTACAGCAATCATCTCTGACCACCTTTGCTGCAAGTCATTGCTCATCTCTCTCTTTTATTGTTCCATGGAATCTCTCTACTGTTGGCTATGCAATGATTCCCAAAAATGCCTCAAAAATTATACTAAGTCAAAGAAAGAATTATGTAATGTAGACTCCTCACCATGAACAACAGGCAGCGCTGCTCCTTAAGGGCCCCAAGACAACCCAGGAAGCCAGTGACCATGGTAATGCCACCAGCGACTAACAGCAGATTGGCAGCGGAGAGGGATGGAAAGGACAGAGGAAGAGAGGAAAACTCTGCCTGTGTGAAGGACAGCCATACTCCAACTCCAAATAAGCCACATCCTCCTAGCTTTTCAGGGAGTGTAAAATCAAACCAGCGTCAAAATGCAGCATTATTCACAATGCAGTGATGAAAATGATGTGTCAAGAATAGCTTGGTAAATCCCATGAACACATATGGCAACTTTGTTGGATTGACTTGTGCAAATACTAACCCAGAAGATAAGGTTTAAGACAAACATCAAATATTTGACACAGCACAAACACCTCTGAGACACCGACATTCTGCAAAAGAAAGAGTGAAACAGACCATTAAACAAACTACATATTTAAGAATGCTTGTGCATCACTAGTGATTTCAAAGATATGTTTTGTCTGAAGATGTGCAATATCTACTGTATTTTCATTTAAGTATCGATCAATTAAACAACTTTATGGATTTGCTGTGCTGTGTTTTGGGTTTCCTTAGTGGGGGGGAGCAAGTCTAAATATTGAAAATGTGTATCATCATAGATCATGGATCTTCAAGTCCAAAATTACAACTTTGTTTCAGAGAACTGTAAAGAGAGCTCCTTCTGTTCTTTCAGTTTCCCTACTTTCTTTGGGTGCAGAGATGTGTTCTGGTCCTGTCACATAATAGTGAAAATCAACAGGCTCCTGAGCACTGCTGAAGCAACTTGATGATGTCTCTTTGCACAGGAAGAAGACTGTAGGTGATAGGAAGTGGTCAATTCACAGACAGTGGAGGAATAGTTACAGCCATTAACAGTATGTCCATGTGAACATTGTTTAAGAAGTACTATTAAAAGTACCATTTAAATCCAGAAACATTCATCACAGTCAATATTGTAATAAAAACATCCTAGATCCTATGTATTCTGCTGATTTAATGTGACCAAACCTATCTTGCACTTCTTCTGTGAAAATGTAAAAATATAAACACATGAAATTACTAGTGCCTCACGCTGCCCCACGCTGTCCTCACCTGTGCTTATTTGCACATCTCATGTATTTTTATGTGTTGTGAGTCTTTCTGCAAATGCTGAGTTGACTTTGTTCTTTATTATACACAATTTGACAAACACATGTCTACAGGATCAGTCATGTGAGGGAACTAAGGTTTGAAGGTAATGACCGTACAGGGGAAGAGTCTGGACTCTAACCTCTAACCTTCCAGATTAAGAGGGTGGGGGCCTGACACCTGCGAATCAGAGCCCACCCACCACTGGGATCACATCAGGGTTCAAGTTATGTGGGAGCCATTGGAAGCTGAGCTCCGTTAAAGGGGGTATAAGTACGCAATAAGCAGTAAAATCCCACATCTGTAGGGCTCGCTAAAACATTCCAAACAAACATGATTTTAATCACAAATAATGCAGTTAATGAGTATTATTTGCCTAAAGACAAATGGAAATAAATTCCAACAGAACAACAGAGCAATAAATGCACTTTACCACCAAGTCCCTATGTGTGCAGTCAGGAATCCCTGGTAAGGCAAGATGCCAACATAGCCGCATAGCCTTTGGCTCTGTTCTGCTAAGCTACCCTACCCCCATGCCACAGAACTGGATTAAATTTAGCTAAAACAGTCTCAGAAAGTATAATTAATTAACATGTCGCAAGACCCAAACCAAATTCCACTTTTTTCATCAAGACAATCTAAAAAGAACTTGACAGAGGACAAGATGGGTGCACAAAACAAGAGCTGTACCTGATGACACAAAGTCTGAACTTGCCAGCATGAATAGTCTGTTGCAAGGGATAGCGGCAGATGTGAGCAGCATGAAAACAGGCCTGGAAACACTACAAACCACTGTAGAGAAACTCTGAACATGGATGTCAGATTCTGAAACCAGGATTTCTGACCTCATTGATGCTAGCAATAGCCGAGGGGCTTGCATAGACTATCAGAATCAAACGGGAAGTCAAATGGCAGGGCAACAGGATCTCCTATTTCCAGGATCTCTCTCTAGATGATCTTCAGCAACGTAAGAAGTTTGACAAAGTGAAGAAACAGCGCCAAGCGTGAGGGATATCATGCTCCATGCTGGATCTCACAACTTTTAAAATCTCCTCGAACAACAGGTCCCATACCTTCACCTCGTCAGACGGGGAAGTTGACTTCCTTGCAGCGCAGGACTAAGTACCGGGACTGTGATTGGAACTGAACTGTTAATGGCCATATAAAAGGTATGTCTGCTCTAAAGCTCCAGATTTATAGTGTGAAATGTATATATGTGTGCACATACTGTACATAGAGCTACTATATTGGAATGTTTGTCTTCTTGTTTAATTATTATTGTTAAACTTGCTTTTTTTAAAACTCATTATTATTATTATCATTAATATTTTCTTCTGGAAGACACAGTTATATTTAATTGTGGCTGACAGAATGAAAGTTGAGGGTGGGGAAGTTCATAGCTGTTTTTTCTTTCTTTTGTGTCTATGAATTGTTAAAAAGTGTTTGGTTATGTATAAGAACAGGGCAGGAGCTCTTAAATCATTTCCTGGTAGATATCTCTAATTATGCAGCTAATTATACATTTAGTAACATATTGTGGGTGAATTGGTTGGATTGACATCATAAAATGTGAAGGATGTAAACTCAACCATTGAAAGGAGGACGATTCCATTATAGTTTTAACAAAAAAATGTTGATCTGGTTTTCCTGCAGGAGACTCACTTGGAAAGGAGGACTCTTTACTATTGCAAAGAGGTTGGGTCTGGAAAGTTTTCTATAGTGCCAGGTCTTCTAGTCAGAGGAAAGTCGACATTTTAATACGGAAAAATCTCAAAATACTTAAAAAACAGTCAGATGATGAAGGGAGATTTGTAGCCAAGAATGTTAAACTAGTATTAAATGTACTTTGATGAACAGAAATGCTCCAACAGCAGACCTAACTGGTTTCTTTGTAGACACACCGTTTGGAAACTAATATATAGTATTAGGTGAGACTAACAAGGTTAGGGACCCTACAGTTGATAAAACTTGTACATGGGATATTACAAGAACTTCACAGACAAGGAAAGCAATTGATACATTGGAAGGGGAGCAAGATTTAGTAGATTTTTCCACCCCTCAGACAAGGAATTCATTTTTTTACTTTCACCCACATATTTCTTATTCAAGGATAGATTATTTTCTTATCTCAAACTCACTTATCTCTATTACTGAAATAACCTCTGTAGGCACCATCTTATTATCACATCAGACAATGGTGGGAATGGCTCTACGTTTTGGCTAATTACTAAGATTTCTACCCACTAGGTGGAGATTTAACTCATCCCTTCTCATGGATGAGAAATCCCTGGAATTTGTTAAAAATTAGATATTGGATTACTGGCTGAAGAATGAAGACTCAGTGTCAAATTCAGCCGTGGAGTGGGATGCGTTTAAGGCTGTCATTAGAGGTTGACTTAATCAACACTGTCCATATCTGAAAAAGAGATCTGTTCAACATCTCCATGAACTAGAGGTGGACATAAAAAAAAAAAAGGTAAAACATACACTGTACCCAATCTGACCACTTCACTCTTCTTGAACAAATTAAAAGCAGAATATTGCATGCAGAAGAAATTTGAATATACATTACGGTTGAACTAAACACAAATATTATGAACAAGGCGCGAGAGCCAGGAAGCAGTACACCCAATCAATTATACCAGCGATACACAATGATAGAGGTGAACTGAAGACAACTACTTCTTATTTCCAGAACTGAAATAAAGGACAAATTGGAACAGGGTTGGTAATTTAAAAGGTAAACATCATGTTTTTATAACTTTTTAAGAGGTTCTCAGCCACCCAGTTTTGAAGGTCTTGAGAGATGCTGGGAGAGTGATATAAGGGGAAAGATATCTTGTGAAACATGGGGGGAAATTGTTGGATAATGGTTTAAATTATCAAAGAAAATGCAGACATCCATGTTTAATTATAAAATGTCAATAGAACTTACTGGACACCAAGTAAATTGGAACGGTTAAGACATAGAAACTCTGACTTGTGTTGGAGAGGAGATTTCACTTGTTGTACCCTCTTAGAAATGCTATATTTATGCCCCATGATAGACCCTCTATGGTCTAAAATTATCTTTCATCAATACAGTGATGTCCTCTTCACTGGTGCCACCAAAAGGAAGTGGTTTGAATGTTCATCAGACTTCATGCAGAATAGCTCTCATCACTGGATGCAGGATAGTGCTCCAACATTGGAAAACTAAAGGAAATATATCAGTGAAGGAGTGGTTTGATTAAATGGCGAAAATCTCCTATGAAGGCTGTGTTACAAGCCTCATCTCTAATATGCATCAGGAGACAGATAGAACAGCTAAACTCTGCCCTCCTGACACTGAACTGTTAGCTGTGAAATTGAGGCCATACTATCTACCTTGGTAGTTTTTGGCCACCGTTGTCGTTACTGTTTACACTCTACAATCTGCAGTTGCAACGCGCACCATCGCAGACCAGCAGACACATCATTCCATGCACTCCTGATTATAAACAGATTTTATCCATATTACTAAGACACTGACAACATCTCCCAGTATGTGCCCTGCAATACCAGGTTCAGTGAGGAATGTGTGGTTCCCACCAAGAAAACTTTGTATCACCAGGTAGAGTAAAGCACAGCTGAACAGGAAGAATATGGTTTTAATTGAGGGGGGGAAACAAGGGAGATAAAATAAGCCTGACCGATCACATTGAAATTCTCCTGTTACAGCAGCAGATAGCCTGTGTGAGGTAGACAAGTGAAAATGTGAAATAGTAAAAATAGAATAAAATACAGAAATAAAAATAAAATATTAATAGAGAAGAGAAATAATGCAGGTGGCAGAGTTCCAGACTTGTTTAAGTTTATGAAGATATTTGTGAGGGAGACAAAAAAGAAGGGAGTTACAGAAATCAATGCGGGATGTAACCAGGGTGTGAACAAGAATGGCAGCTCTGTTGGGTGTGAGGGATGGGTGGAGGCAGATGTCATCCGTATAGCAATGGAAATTGATGTTAAATTTAGGGGAAGATATGGCCAGGAGGAAGTAAATAGATGAAAAAGCGAAGGGACCCCAGGACAGAACCCTAGGGAACCTCAGTAGTGACCGTCAATGGCTGTAATTTGAAAGATTTGAGTTGCATGAACTGAGTGCGGCCAGAGAAATATCATCTAAAGCAGTCCATTGGTGATGCAAATGGAAGCTAGTCTGTCAATGACAATATGCATGACACTATATTCAGCTATGGGCAGTTCACACACAAACACAGCCGCGCTATACAGGTATAATAATAGAACAAGGCACTTGAGCGTTCTAACATTCACGCACACACACACACACCACAACAAAACAGCAACGAAACAAATAAGTAGGCTAATCCATAAAGGCCATATGCAATGCTAACATACAAACCTTCATCAGAGACCATACTCAAAAACCTCACTCACTCACTCACTCGCTCACACACACACACAAAGGCATTGGGCATTATTAGGTCTAATAATAGAATTCATTTAAGACTGCACTCCATTATGCAACTCCTCACTACAGAGACAGACATTCATTTGAATCATGTCTGAAACAAACTGTCAGATATGTAACCTGTATCTGAAAAAGGGACAACTGTCCAGTAGCACCACCACACCAAGTTTAGAACAACACACAAGCACACTCAGCAACCTCCGCCATCTCTGGGTTCACCAAAACCAGGACCAAAAAGGACTTAAGACCTGTGGCTTTAATGTCACATGTCATTAAAACCTTCAATAGGCTTGTCTTACAGAACCTCAGGCCCCTGGTGTGTGATCACATGGATCTGCTACAGTTTGCATACGACTGACACTTGTCAACGATGCCATCATCTACCTGCCAGAGCATACACACAACAGGAGGAGCCACAAAACACCTTGAGGATCATGTTCTTTGACTTCTCCAGAGCGTTTGGCACTCTTTAGCCACTAAGGCACTCTACAGGAAGGGACAGGGCAGGCTGCTCTATCTGAGGTGGCTCAGCACTGGGCTGCTATGAGTCTGTTAGGCAAAATGACAACATAGTGGACAGTTCAATCTCTTTTGCTGTTGTATGCTGGGGAGTTGTCATAGGGAGCTTTTGCACCAACAAAACTGAACAAGCTGGTGAGAAAGGCCAGCTCTGTAATAGGTTTGAAACTGGACAGTGCTGAGGCAGTGATAGAGAAGAAGATGAGAGGAAAAATAAAAGCCATCATGGACAACCCGTCTCATCCCTTTTTGCTGGACTGACACAGCTCAGGATCACGTTAAGCCACAGACTCATTCAGGATTGTGCTTTAAAGAACATAGAAACATCAGAGAGAGCCACATGTGAGGGATCCGTCTCTTAGGATGGACAGAAGTGCAATAGATACCACGTGTAATTGAGAACGTCAGAAAAGTACGAGTATTTACAGCATTGGTTAGAATAAACAGTTTGTAGCATCATGACCCTGGATAAGGCACAGGCACTACGGGGAAAAAGCCAAATCAGTAACATGTATTGATGAGAGATTAATGTCTTTGATGTGAGAAGGAGGGAGAAGGAGAAAGGGAAGCTCCATGTGTCACGTGTCCCCCGACATTCTAGACTATAGCAGCATAACTAAGAGCAGGTCTAAGATAAGCCTGGACCAGCTCTAACTATAAGTTTTAACATAAAGGAAGCCTACTCTTAAACATGAACTGAAACTGGGAGATGATTCCACAGGAGAGGAGCCTGATAGCTGAAAGCTCTTGCTCCTACTCTACTTTTAGAAACTTTAGGGACAACAAGTAAGTCTGAATTCTGGGAGCTCTACTATGAGCTCTTTAAGATATGATGGTGCCATATTATTAAGGGCCTTGTAGGTGAGGAGGAGAATGTTCAATTCTTTTCTTGCTATAGCCCGAAGCCAGTGTAGTGAAGCTAATACAGGAGAGATGTTATCTCTTTTCCTGATTCTGGTCTTGAACGACTTACTGCTGGAGCCTGATAACAAGGAATTACAATAATTAAGATATTTTTTTGATTTTTTGTTTTATTTTTGCATCCGTCAATGTCCAGAGGAGTCATCACCCCGTCCCACTTTATCGCAGTGATTCACTCAGGTCAATTCACAGACATTATACTTGGAGGCCAGGCAGCGTCTCACTCTGACATTTCAGTTCAAACACACACCATACCAGCAGGTATGAAACACTGATATTTCCTTTCCATGTGTTCATTTGTGGATCTTGAGTATTTGATCGATTTGTGAGTCCAACCCCAGAGGTGTTTTGCTCTTTATTTAACAGAAATTGCCATCTCAGTATACATGTGCACATTGGAAGTCTGATTTGTGTCTGATTGAATGGCCTCACACTACTGACCCCACAGAGGAAGTCAAACTGCTGACAGGAAGGAAGTTCCCTTCCCTCCTCAATAAACAGAATTATACTGGTGAAGGCATTTCCCATGACTACAGCAAACCTGTGACGTGCAGGAGATTTCAGAGCACACATCTTCTCCCAACAGAGCCACATATTGCTGATAAAGCCACAATGAGTATGTATGGTAAACATTAGAATTTCATATGTAGGCATTAATACATGAGAATGACAAGAACTACATTATGGATTTTGTAGTGAGTCAATAAAAGTAAAACGAAAACTTTGTTTTTGCATCCTTTGTCTTATTGTTCATGTTTCTATGACCTACTCTTATATGAATATGGTACATGGTTTGTATTTATATAGCGCTTTTCTATGAGCGGCCACTCGGGGTTCAGTATCATGCGCAAGTAGACTTTAGCATGCAGATGGGGAAGACTGGGCTCAAACCTGGTTGGAGGACGACCACTCTATCCTTCAGCCAAAGCTGCCCCTAGTAGTCGAAGGACATGATAAGTAACCTTATCACACTACTGAAATTAATAAATCATTACTTTTCACTTTCTTTAATCAACATTTCATCATAACATTTCCTGTGCTACTGCAACGACTGTCTGAGGGCTGAGTCATATTTAAAGCATGTGCGTCTTTTTAGACAGTTTCTGCTGTCAGTATTTTGCAAGAAATGTTTTCATATTTCCACTTTGGCTTATTTATATAAACTGATAATAAGCATAGGAAGAGGAGGGAAGACCTTGATTCCATTTGAGTTGACAGAAAGATTTTTCTGGAGTTTTCTACCATCCTCATTCATCCATTGTTTGGCTAACTTTCTAATGTGAACCACTAAACTCATCTTGGATGAATCAGAAAGAAAGAAAGACCTTATGAAGGACTGCCAAGTATCCACAGTCTTTTATCTCATTACAGACAAATGTGGTACATTACAATACAATGTAGATTTCATTGGTTAATAAACTTTACAAAGTGTATCTTCTTACTGTATTATTTGCTCCCCCGTTCTCTCACAAATTATATTAACCCTTTGATGCCACATCTTTTTTATATGTAAAGAAAAGACCTAACAAGAAAACAACGTTTTGAACATGGTACTTCATTAAAGTGGAGATTCTTTGTCTGCAATTCAAAAAAGCCTTACCTGGTGATGAGTTGTCTTGTCCAGGCTCCTCTTTGTAACTACTGCTTCCTTCAGTCCCTGGGTTTGATCTGTGTTCTCAGATCTCCTTCGGAGTGTTCTGTGAACAAGGCTTTATCTTCTTTTTCTGCTCCTCTGTATTATTCGTAACTGGAAGACTGTGTCTGTGTGCCTTCTCCAGTTGTCTCCATCCCCAACTCTGACCCTTACATGTAGGTTCAGAATTCGTTTTGTTCGCTTTTGTAAACAGATCTCTCTCCCTCCCTCCCCCCTACTCTCCCCAATTATTTCCAGATGTCTGTGTTGTTGCCCGCCCATCTGCGTGTTCCTCCCTCTCGTCCCTCCTCCCCCCCACAGCCTCGAAAGCTCAGCCTGTTTCAAATTTCACCTTTTGTCTCTTTGTTCTAGAAACTTTGAGTGCTTCCATAACCTATGTCTTGGTGATTTTCACTTTCATGGCTGGAAAAGCACATATGCACACAACTGCACATAGAACGACAGAAACATTCTTTCCTGACAAAATGGTGGATTTTACCTCTGGTGACATTTGTGAAGAAAATAAAAAGTTGTGGGAATGAGATAATAAGTCGTGGCATCACACCAACGCCTGTGTCGGCTCTCTCTAGACACCTTCATCTGTCTTCTATGTATGACACCACTTTTTCACCTGGAGATGTTTGTTTTCTCTTGGTTTGTTTTTGCGTCTGTGTGTGTTAGAAGCATCATCACCCCCTCCCACTGGCTCGTGGTGACTCCAGCAGGGGATCCTCCGGATTACTATGAACATTATACCAGGGACATAAAGGTCCAGTGTGTAAGATTTAGGTGAAAAGTGAATTGGCAAAAATTTTATATAAAAAAATCCTAGTATTGTTTTCACTGGTGTATAATCATCTGAATTGTACAAATTATTGTTTTCTTAACCCTAGAATGAGCCCTTTATATTTAAAAACTTTGTATTTGCATCGGGAGCAGGTCCTCTCTATGAAGGCCACCATGTTTTTCACAGTAAACTCAACTCAAACTAAACACCTTTTGAGTTTTTCTGAAGGAGAGGATGAGGTCAGGGCTATTCAGCTGTCACATGCAGCTTCACCACACACTGAGTAACAGTGTAATGTAATTTTGGTGACAACTGACTGTGCAAGTAAATCTGTACACTATCTATCCCCCATTCCGAGTGAAAGTATAAAATTATATCTGCTTATCCAACACATAATCTGTAAACTTGTTTATTATCAAAACTTTAAACTAATTAATAAAAAGAAATGTACAGAGGTTGAAATTGCAAAACATAAATGAAGTAATGAGTAATCATTGTCACAGAATTTTAAATGATCAACAGTAACAGTACAAATAGCATTTTAAGTGTACTGAATTCAACAAACTTACAGCAACAGGAATGCTGATGCGCGGACATCACTGGTAGCGTGAGCATCCCATGTTATCAGATCAGAGCGTCTGCACTGCACACTCTTAGAAAATCGAGGTCTCGCCTATTGTCCCCCACTTACCATCAATGGTTCACAGCAAAAAAGATAGTGAACGTGGTCTTTCAACACAGTTTTAATGTCCATCTGTTGCATATGACACAAACATAAATATTTGCAACACTTCCTGTACCTGCTAAGTAAAAGCACTCTTTCTGCTGACTGAATCCATTGCCTTGTTTCTACAAGGTTTTATAGAGGACCAGAAGATGCACGGCTTCATACCATAGTGTGGCATTGGGTGCTCTGCTTTTATTCGAGGAAATACAGTCAAGTCAGCAGATACTTCCTGTAGCAGCTCCGCTGGAGACACACTACAGATCTGCAGTGCAGCTGTCACGTGCACATTGTGTAGCCCAGTGGCGACAGAGTAACCGAAACCTTTTAAATTCAATTCAGTTTTAATTGTATTGCACCAAATCACACATTAACTCAAAGCATTTTACAGTGTACAGTTTTACATTCACCCATTCATACAGTGCATCTACTGTATGTGCAGCATTTTCTCTATGAGAAGGGAACATTTTGGGTTCAGTATCTTGCCCATGTGGACTGGTATAGGCTGGGATTGAACTGCCAACCTTCTGGTTAAAGGATACACTCTAACCCCTGAGCCACAAGGTAGCACTTTGGTGACTGTGCAGCAAAAAACAGGGGAGAGGAGGGGTCGGTGGAAAGATGGGAGCGAAGAGAGTTTGGGGTTAAGAGACTATAGGAATAGTTGTTTAACTGTAATTTTTTATTTCTAGTATATATTTAGAATAACACACACACATGAACAGATGTTGATAAGGACCTAGTTTCAGTGTTCTAACAGATCCCTCCTTTCACATTTGAGGGAGTGTTGACTGTTTCGTGTATTGATAAATATCCATCAGCAAACAACAAGTGGAATGAATATTAGATGAGGAGCCTACAAACAAAATGATACAGATACTGTTTAAGGCAGGACACTAGAGGCAAAAAAATGTTTCTTTCATACTGGTCAATTTTGAGATTTTGGTCTATTTGTGTTCTTCGTCTTCCTTTACTCTAATGGAAAGAAAACTTCCAAAACTACACATTTACATGGTGTTTGTTCTACTGCCATCAGTTTGGATCCGTAGATTTCTCCTACATTCATCAAGCAAGCTAATCTGCACATTTAAACATATTTATTGATGTATGTCATTAACTGGTTAAGTTCTGTGGAGAAATGTCTTAGTTCATTTTTTAAAATCCTATTCATCTGCAGTGCCAATTGGCATGTGTATAAAATTAGAGCATTTTATTTATTTTTATTTTAGAGCCTACTTTGCATATAAAGGTGGTGATTGTGATGACATCATCAGTTACAAATGTCATTGTTTATGCTAGAAAACGTCATAAAGAGGTAACAAACACACACACACACACACACACACACACACACACACACACACAGTGTGGAGTAGTCTCTGTAACCCCTCTGAAATACAAGTAAACTGCTGTGATTACAACAAACACAGGTTCCAATATGTGACGTGGAGACATTCTCCTGACTTAAATTATACACACATGCACTTGTCTATACTGGTCTGTCAAGTTGCAATAGTTGAATAAAATAATTGGAGCTTTATGTAATTGTAATGCAATTTATTGCATTAAACCATTTTTCTCTAGGAATGAATTGTCCATATTTCCCTCAACTCAAAACTACCCTACAAATGAAATACAGTCGTGAGGTGAAACCCGCAAGACCTGTTCCTCACCCTCTCCACATCTCATTCTACCTTTTCAGAAGAGTTTATTCTATGCTTACTGTGACCCAACTTCACTCATAAGCACAATGTGTGCACACACACACACACACATTCAAAAGGTAGACTCAAATCTTTCCCACTAGGCATTTGAAGAAGCTTTGTCAACCCTCCTATTCGTTGTCTCCAGGATCAGCGGGCTCTGACGGCGCACCCCTGTGGTCAAAGACAGGAAGAATCTTTGTGAGCGTTCTTTTACACAGGTGCTTCAAAAAGTTATGTTATGTGAGATTAGCTGCTGTACTGTACTGTGAATTCCAAAGAAGACGAGGAAGTAATAAATGAATCAAGATGAACAAAATACATCACACACTTGATAACAATACTGTCTGAGCAATGAAAAAGTATAACTTCTCATCAAGAGAACTTTGGAAAAGTTTCCTTGACTCTGATTTAGTGTTTTATATAATTGTAATACTTCAACTCATGTTTTGTTTTCCTGAATGACCAATAGACCCCAATTTGAAGAAGTCAGCGTCTTTATTTTAATTATGCACCACTCTTAAAGGATAGATGTCTTCCATTTTTTATAACGATGTCATATTAAGATTTTAAAAAATGCCACAAGATAGACTTTACTGTCCCAGTGGGAAATTTGCCTTGAAGAACACAGTCTCTGCAGTATATAAGCACAATCAAATGTATTCATCCATCAGGCATTTATCTAAAAAACAAAATGTACATATATTGCAAAACAAAAACGGCGATTAACAATAACATATGCATATTTAAGCCTTGGTGGTGCCTGCAGAACCCTGTAACATCTACCTGTGGGGAGGTCCTGGCACTCAGAATGGAGAACATTGTTAGCTCTCATTTTGTTGCAAAAGGACCTGGGATGTTCAGGAACTCCCATGAGTTTCATGGCTGTGTTTGATAGTCGGTTGATCTGAGCCTTTATATGTAGGGTCAGGGATTGCTGGTGTTAACCATATCTCTGTGAGGAGCACGGACTCACAAAGCAGGCTTTTCACATTTGTTCGAGTTCACCCACCTGCCGGATGATTAATCTCAGGCTTCTGCATTCTCTGTCACCATGATATCTCTTTTGGCAGATTTTCAATCAAATATTCCTGGAGATATATATGTTTGCGAAGGGACGGAAGCATGTCTTGTGCATACTGTATGACCAAGTTGTTAATTCCATGACTGGGAGAGGGATAAGTAGTTTGACACGTATTAAAAAGTTTGTACCCAGGATCACGACTAAGACAAAGAGAAATTTCATGCACGTACTAATGCACACAAAATAAAACGTCTCAACTGTCAGACTGTCACTGAAGCAACAAAATGATCACATAACTGTCAAAATACAGCAGCTCACACTAGTCATGTCATGTGCAGAGCAGTGTCAGTGCCATGGATTTCTGTTTTGTGCAATATATATTGTAACCAACACACAAAAACACTTTGAAAGACAAGAAAAGATGCTTGTGGTTAAGTGTTGATGAGATGCAGTATATTGGTTTATTTTTTATTCATTTAGAGAAAGAGATGCAGCCATTTATTTCATCTAGTGTAAAAGGTGTGTATGTATCCCTGTTTGTAAAGTTTGATTACGTAAAATGGTGTGCAGATGATTGTGGTGTGGAAAAGTTTTAAATATTCAGGTACTTCCTTTGCAAATGTAATAATTTCCTGTGATTTGGGGAAACCTACATGACATGAAATGTGTTTCTCTCTCAGAAACTGGTCATAAAAGGTACATTTTAGATACATTTTGATTCCAGTAAGGCGTATGTGCTTACTGGAGCACCCACTTACCCTGAATAAGGTGGTGGTGGGGCATCATGCTGCCCACTGCGGTTCAGAGCCTCATTGTAGCTGGGTAGACCCGGAGCAGTGATCCCAGCAAGGGGCACCATCTCTGGGGCTGGACGGCCATCTGCTGCCATCCTCACTGGAGCGCTGTTGGACAAGCAAACAGCAAGCAGCAGGCATCCAAATCAGAACTATTCAGCAAACCATCACATTTTATTTGTATAGCCCATATTCACAAATAACAATTTGTCGCATAGAGCTCAAGGAAGTGTGACAGCCTCTGCCCTTCACCCTCAACAAGAGTAAAGAAAAACTACCAAAAAGCAGTAGAAACCTCAGAGAGAGCAACGTGTGAGGGGTCCCTCTCTCAGGGCGGACAGAAGTGCAATAGATGCCACATGTAACTGAGTGTATTTACAACATTAATTAGAAGAAACAGTTTGTAACATAATGGAAAATGTGTATATGTTCAAAGTATTTGTGCACAAGAAAAATGTCTGATAGAGATGAACCAGTTTAGTTCATGTTCAGCCAATCAAGTAAACGGTTTGTATTTATATAGAGCTTTTCTAGACTTGGTGGCCACTCAAAGTGCTTTAATGTACAGTTTGCCATTCACCCATTCACACACACATTCATACAGTGCATCTATTAGCAGCACTTTTTGTTCTATGAGGGCCAATTTGGGGTTCAGCATCTTGCCCGAGGACACTTCAGCATACAGATGGGGGAGACAGCCGCCCCAGAATGCCTGTCACTTGTCTATAATTACATTTGGCACAGACATTCACTTGAATGCAAATGTTTCATGTGATGAGTTTACATACTAAGTCGATGCAAAGACACAAATTTTGAGCCTCTTGCCCTTGAAATATTCTAACTCTGCCAAAGAATTTGTGTGACAATTGGCGAAAGCCAATCACCTCAGAGAACTAAACAATCTCAGGTCCTGGCACCGATCAGAGCTAGAGGGTGATGAAACCGTAGAGTCGTACTCCGCTGGTTATTCGAGAGATTTCAAGTTTCAGACACCTCCTCATTTCAATAACTAATAATAACAACAACTATTTCACTGAAAACAATCAAAGAAATAAATATTAAGATTATGCTTTTATCAACTACTACTAGCAGCAAAACAATATCTTTGGTTTTTTCGCTGTCTAATCGGTTCTTTTGGCTGCTTTTTCAGCCGGTGATCCCAGATGCAGATGAGGGTAACTCTAATTTGTTTGGGGAAGCGTTGGGTGGTGGTTATGTTCATGCACCTGCTAATGTGCTGCCCGTCTGAATGCTAAGTTTGTATTTGCTTAAAATGTTATGAATATTTTGTGGTCAATGCTCAATCTCATGTTTTCAAGGCATCATAAACGAGTAATATGTTTGATTCTATATCCTTGGTCTCCTGGAACGTTTGTGGTGTAGGTCGCCCGGTTAAGCGTAGTAAAGTATTCGCACACTTGAAGATCATTTAATCCCCTCTTACTCACAGACAAGGCATTAAAAACAGCAAACGTTTCACAGTTCCTTGAGACCAATGAACATGGCGAGGTGAGTGACTCAACATTGTGGGAGACACTTAAAGCCTATATTAGAGGACAAACTATTTCTTATGATGCTACATGGAATCAAGATGGATCATTGATTTGATGAGATTAATAGAGAATTACTGGCTGATGAACAGGTTAATAAAAACTCTTTGCTCCAATCAGATTATAATAATATTCTTAAATTAAAATATGAATATAATTCCATTTTGGGGAACAGATTGGAAAAACACTAGTCAAAGTTAAACAGAGACACTTTGAGCTTGGTGACAAACCACAGAGGTTATTGGTGAGACAGTTGAAGGGAGAACAAGCGAAACGAGCCATCTACAAAATAAAATCCAAATCTGGTCTGATGCTAACAGACTTGAAAGATTCAGAAATGTACACATCCAAATCGACAGCTACACAGGAAGACTTTGATTGTTTCTTTGATTCGCGTCAACCTTCACAACGTATGCCGCATTCAGGGAAAATTTGGACTTGGATTTCTCATTGTCTGAGGTACAGGAGGCAATGAAAGCATTTCCTACCAGAAAGGCGGTTGGCCCAGAGTTTTATGGGGCTTTTCAAAATTCTCTCACACCTATATTGTTGAGAATGATTTGCATCTCTTTTAAAAACAGGAGGCTCCCAGCCTCCATCAACGAAGCAAACAATTGTCTTCTATAAAAAAGATAGAGACAAAACTGATCCTGGCAATTGAAGGCCTATTGCCCTGCTAAATTGTGATTTGAAAATAATAACAAAGTTTTAGCAAAAAAGCTGAGCAACCACATAGCAAACAAAATCAGCGGAACTCTAGGAAGTTCCAATGACTTGGGTTCGTTCATTCATTGCATTTTCCCATCAGTCTCTTCCCAATGTGCTTACTGTGGCTTTGCTGAGGGTTCACTGGCACACTACTCTGTATAACTTTTGGAATACCATTTTTCAGTGGCTCTCAAATGCCTATTCTCCTCCTTAAGGGAGTATCATAAATCTGATTTGAATTCGCAATTTGTTTTCAAATGTTTCACATCTGGGTTAACTTACTGGGCTGACCTCATCCTATCCTTCTTCTTAGCTTTGTAGAAGTAGATTCCCAGGACAGTGGTAATAACAGCAACCACTAGGACAGCCAGGATACCTGCCACCAGCCCCGACACATCCACTCTGGGAGTATGCGCTTAAAAATCAAACATAATTACCATCAAAACATTGTCTTTTTTAAACTTTTGTTAGTGGTATAAACTCTTGCTCTTAAACTGTTTTCAGAGACACTCTTTGGTAGGTAGTACACCAGCTTCACTCTGTAATTTGCCAGTGGACAGTATAACTAAGCATTTAAAATAAATGACAAGAATAAGCAATTATAGTCAATGAGCCCATTACCAAAGCCTATAGACCACTGTCATGGATAGTATTAATCCTTTAAACCATTACCTTGACTGTTGACATAGGAGGTCCAAAATATTTCCTAAAAATGGATGCAAAAGAAAATTGAATGATATAGTTTCAATAGAACTGAAAAAAAAAAAAAACATTAGGTGACCACCAAGTGACATTTCATTGAAGCCAATATGGACATGCCATAAAAGTCCTCTTATCATATTTAGGTGATAATTTCTGGAAGTTATATCATAATCATTTGCATGAATATACAGTTCTCTCAACTCAGATTGCAGTGATAATTGAAAACCATTCAAAGATGCTTCATTAGAGCAGAAGTGAATTAAATTAAAACCTTACAATGATTTCTGACTCCCTTTAAAATATAATTGTTACTGTTAACACTTCAGTTGGTATGGAGAAGGGCGTCAGTGACAACCAGCATTACCGTTTTGGCATCGTCCTCAAACACCTCTCTGGCCTCCTCATGGCTGCACAGCTCCTCATGACACTCCCTCTCCAAATTGTCAGACACCAACAGCTCAAAGTCCCAGCTGTTATAAAGCAGTGTGCGCGACAGGTAGGAGTTCGCTGACTGCTCATCCAACAACACAGGCTCTCCTGAAAGACACAGGCCTCATACACTCACAGAGCACATACCCACTGAAAGCAATACGCCCCCCAAAAACTACTCCCCCACAAACACACTATTGCCTCCTGTTTGAGTGTCATATGATAAAAACCTGCTGTTTTAGGAAATGACTAAGCATTTTTTTAAACTGAATCTACTTGTTTTAAAAAAAAAACATGTCTCCAGCAGGAACAGATGCGTAGCCAGTAATGCTCCTGGGAAGCATCAGCCTGCACATATAACTCGCTGGCCCACATACGCAATATGCTCAAATACTCATCACTTTTCTGATACTACTGATACAGCCGGTCTGGTCTAATGGTCAGCTGGCCCACTGTTTCCATTGGTTAACAGATTCCGACATATTTAGGAAATTTTGGCCTCTACTCTTGCTTTCCCTGCCTTTCTTAGGGGGTGGGCCTGACTAGTTGCTGGAAGGAGAGGAACTCATTTTACTGCAGATTTGGACTGTTTGAGCATAACACATTGAGGCTCAACATCTCAAAGTTTATGGGACTAATAAAATAGAAAAAGAGGCGGAATAAAGGGTTTTTTTTTTTTAAAGGACCACATAAATTAAAATTAGAGAGAAAAAAGTTATGTGGCTTAAAGGTTCAGTGTGTAACATTTAGGTGAAAGGGATTTTTAGTCAAAAAATTGAATAAAATAAAATAATCCTTGTGATGTTTGCACTGGTGTGTTACACCTAAATTGTATGAATTGTTGTTTCTTTACCATAGAATGGGCCCTCTATATTTAAAAACTTAATATTTACATGGAGGGGGGTCCTCTCTGTGGAGGCCGCCATGTTTTTTACTGTCATCCAAACTGGACAAACTAAAACCTTTTGAGATTTCATGAAGATCACTACATGTTTTCTTTCATGTTGGGAAGGGGAGGGTGAAATTAGTATTCTGCTGCAACATGCACACTGAACCTTTAAAGGAGTGATGGGAAAATACACTGCCTGGCCAAAAAAAAAGTCGCCACCTGGATTTGGGCAGATGAAGTGATGCACCCATCATGCCTAGTGCCTACTGTACAAGCCGGTGGGGGCGGTGCAATGATCTGGGGTCGCTGCAGTTGGTCAGGTCTAGGTTCAGCAACATTATGTGCCCAAAGAATGAGGTCAGCTGACCACCTGAATATACTGAATGACCAGGTTATTCCATCAATGGATTTTTTCTTCCCTGATGGCACGGGCATATTCCAAGATGACGATGCCAGGATTCATCGGGCTCAAATTGTGAACGAGTGGTTCAGGGAGCATGAGACATCATTCTCACACATGGATTGGTCACCACAGAGTCCAGACCTTAACCCATTGAGAATCTTTGGGATGCACTGGAGAAGGCTTTGCGTAGTGGTCCGACTCTCCCCTCATCAATAAAAGATCTTGGTGAAAAATGAATGCAACACTGACAGAAATAAATGCTGTGACATTGCAGAAGCTTATCGAAACAATGCCACAGCGAATGCATACCGTAATCAAAGCTAAAGGCGGTCCAACGAAACATAAGAGTGTGTGACCTTTTTTTTTGGTGGCGACTTTTTTTTGGGCCAGGCAGTGTATAATGAAATACTAAAATAGTTTCAAAATGAAAAAGAAATTATGAAAGATAAGCTAAATAAACCTAGACCTAGACCTAAATAAACCAAGGCCTATTTTTTCCTCTTCTCATCCTCAATGTAAGAAGACTAAATACCAATAGAAACAGATGAATTACATGTTACTTTTGCATTTGAGATATTCAATTACTCAGACTGAATGTCCATGATCATAAACACACAGAGCTTAATCAGAGTATCTGCCGATTACATTTCACTTCTTCTATCCTGTCATTATATCCCATAAATGTGAGGTATGTTTCTGATGCCATGAGAAAGAGACTCACAAGCTACATAAAGGTGTCAGTAAGTTCAAAGTGCTTTTCTACAAGCTGAGCAGACGTGTTATCTACCTGGAGCCCGCCTGGAGGTGACAGCACAGTGGGCCAGCTGCAGTAGGGACAATGCCAGGATCCACACCTCTGATATGGCTGCCATTGTAGCAAACAACTACATGGAAAAAACACAAGAAACAGCCTCGGTGGAAGGGATTCCAACACTTGCAGTCGGACGGATAAGCCTCAAACACTCACCTGTCCACTGCAGTTTGCTCTGTCTGTCCGAGGTTTCTGGGAGAACAATATTGCTGGTGCTAGATTTTCGGAAACATGTAAGCACCACTGTGAATTCACACTGAGGTCTGTGCTGAAACCGTCAGGAGAAAAAGATGTTATGCTGCTGTGCCAAACCTGTTGAGCAGCATACCAGCTGGTGGGAGGAACCTCCACAAACCTGTCTATTTACTCACCGTACACTGGCTTTGAGTGCATGCTTGCCTTATCCACACCTGTGTGTGTGTGTGTGTGTGTGTGTGTGTGTGTGTGTGTGTGTGTGTGTGTGTGTGTGTGTGT